TCGCAGCTTGGCGCGACGGCCTACCGCTTCTCGGTGGCCTGGTCGCGAGTGCTTCCAGACTGCACCGGCACGCCCAACGAAGAAGGCATCCAGTTTTACTCGGACGTCATCGACAACGCCCTCGCCAACGGCGCCCAGCCCTACCTCACGATGCACCACTGGGACCTTCCGCAGGCCTGCTTCGACAAGTACGGCGGCTTCACGGACCCGCAGATCGTCGACGACTTTGTCGCGTACGCCACTCTGCTCTTCGACCGCTTCGGCGACCGCGTCACGTACTGGCTCACCCAGAACGAGATGGAGAGCAACTGCAACTTTGGCTACCGCGACGGGAAGTACGGCCCGGGCGTCGTCGGCGGGAACACGGCAAAGTACAAGTGCTTGTACCACTCGCACTTGATCCACGGGAAGGTTGTGCAGCTCGCCAGGTCAAAGTATGCGGGCAAGGGGTGGAAGTTCGGCGCGCCGTCCATCATGAGTTACTACACGCCTAAGGATCCCAACAATGCTGCTGGTGAGATGCTCGACCCATTGTGCGCGAGGGCAGTAGGAGTGAGGGAGACAGATCGAGTGGTGCGTGCGAAAGCGGAGATGGGGGAAATGGGCAGACAAGGCAACAAACACAGGAGAGACAACGAGACAGGGACTCGCTTGTGGCTGTGAGGCGCACCGCCGATTGATCCCCCGCTCGACTGCGCCGTCCAACATCACACAACACCCCTGTTCCCTTCAAAACCCACTAAACCAAACCTCCTGCCTTCTTCACTACGAACGAATGAAAAAAAAAAAAAAAAAAAAAAAAAGATGTCGCCGCGGCCACCTTTATGAAGAACCGCGACTACGGCCTGTTCTGGGAGCCCAGCATCACCGGCAACTACACCAACGAGGTCTACACCTACCCCAACGACGCCGCCAGCGTCGTGCCCTTCACCGCCGCCGACGCCGCCATCATGAAGGGAACGTCCGACTTTATCGCCCTCAACTACTACTCGGCCTACACCGTCGACTCGAGCTACAACACTGGAGCCCCCGACGGCACTGTCGTGAGTGCCTTTTTTTTTCCTCTTCTTTTTTTTCTTTCTTTGACCCTCTCCTTTGCACAACGTGCTCACCCCGCTTTCCAAAAACCCCACAAAAGACGTCCGCCTCAAGCTGGCAAAACGTCTACGCCCCAGGCATCCGCTCCGTCGCCAACGACCTCTACAAGCGCTACTCCCTCGACATCCACATCACCGAGGTCGGCTACGCGACCCCGGGCGAAGTCAACCTGACCTCCGCCGCCGCCGTCGCCGCCGACGCCACGGGCGCCCGCCAACAGTTCTGGTCCGACCACCTCCAGCAAGTAGCCCTCACCGTCGCCGACGGCGTCCCCGTCAAGGCACTCCTCGCCTGGTCGCTCACCGACAACTTTGAGTGGTGGACGTTTGATATTAGGTACGGGTGCATCGCGGTGAATTATACCGACGGTGGGGCGTACCAGAGGACAGTGAAGAAGCCGACGCAGTGGCTGGCTGCGCAGCTCGCAGGCGCTGTGAGCCCGTTGGGCCCGTTGGCTGCGCAGAAGAACGCGTCGATCACGGTGCCTGGCGGCAGCGGTGGCGGTACGACGCCGTCTGGGTCCGCGACGTCGAAAACCGTGTCTTCCACGGGCACGTCGAGCAAGTCTGGCGCCGCCCCCGCGGCCGCCGTGGCGCCAGGTACGGTTACGGCAGTCGTAGCTGTTGCTGCTGCAGCGGCGGCGGCAGCGGCTGTTGTGGCGGTGCTGTGATGATGGAGGACGGGGTGGACTTAAGGGATCATGTTTCCTTTTTTTCCTCCCACTTGGTGAAAAGACTTTTTCCACGCTGCGCTGTTTCTGGTCCTTTCGTTCCCTCTTTGATTTCCCCCCCCCTCTTTTTCCTTTTCCCTTTGTTACGCTTGATATAAACGATATGCTTTCTCTTCCATTTTCTTTTGTCCCCCTTGCTACACCGCTGCTGCAATGACAATGAAATTGAGTTTAAAGAAACATGGCCACCTAGAGCGGGTGACAAATGTTTTCATGGAACCCTCCGATTTGCATAGAGTTACATTCAGTTGGACACACTCTGTCCATAATCAAGGTAACGGTCACAACACACTTCAAGTCAGTGAAATAATATGCTGCATTAAACTCGCAGTAGCACTGTTGCTGAGACAACAGTTAATTCCATCCTCCAACTCCATGAATTGAATGAAAACCTCGCAACACGTTTTTATTTAATTCTAAATCGAAGTTGAATACAGAGGGATGCTCGCAGTGGGCAGATTCTGCAAGGGAATTGGCAGGACACAATTTTTTATCTTGGAAAGTTAAGGCCAAATACAATCTCAAACGGGGCGTAAGGCAATAGGGAGGGTGATGACCAAAGACTTAGTGGCAATTGACACAGTCAACGCCGGGCAAGACCTTCACAAATGATTGTAATTTTCCGTCAAAGATTTTGCAACTCCCTCCCGGCGGTACCCTTCAGCGCAAACGCGCCGACTCGGACGTCGCAGACGCTGCGCCCGGCGACCCAGCGCTGGTCAAGGTGGACATCTTCGACGGCGACGCATGCTGCTGCATGGCGAACACCAGCTTGCGCACGCGGTCGGCGTCCGTCAGGAGCACCATGAACATCATGCACGGAGGTACGATGAGGAGGATCCTACGCGGGTAGGGTGGAGTGGGGGGTAAGGGGAGATCATGAGGTTAAGGCTTGCGGAACAAGCGCCATTCACTTACCATGCTGGTTCGAAGAAGGCAGTAGGCCGCCGCCGAGGGGGGAGAGGGGGTGGGAGTAGTGAGCGGACGGAGAGAAGAACCGAGTTTTCACGTACCTTTCGTCGTGGAGTAAAAGAAAGCACCTGGAAATTGACAACCCCCGCAAAGCAATCAATATCGAGAACAGCAAAAACAAGGGGGAAGAAAAAAAAGAAAAAAAAAAAAAAAAAAATTTGCAATGCCCCCCCAGACCTGCCGTTATAAAATTCAAAGCCACTGCGCCCGAGTACAGCACGCATCGCAATGCAATGTCGGCGTAGTGCGCGGCGGACGGTTTTGTGACGCTAAACTGGCCCATTATAGAGATTATCGTGACCTGCGAGGCCACGAAGAAGACCGTGTCGGTGACCACGGTGTAGACCACGAGGGCGATGGAGATGCGTTGCATGTGCGGGTTGGGGTTAGTGCCAAAGTTGTCCTGTGCGTGGAGGGTTAGGGTTATCACAGTGTGTCAGAAAGGCGATATTCAAATTCAGGTGGGATGCAGACCTTCATGCCCTTGGAAAACAAGTAGGAGCCTGCAGGGATTATGAATGATTTGCTGGACAAACTGGAGAACGGTGTATGCGGCTCTTACCTGCACTGCGAAGTACATTTTGCAAGGGAGAAGAGATGGACGTGCAGAAGTTTGAATAAAATTTTGGCAAGCTGATGTAAAATAACTGAAAGTCGCAAAACAAAAGCGGGAAAGCACTCAACGTGTAGATTGCACACTGGACTATCGCGACGGCGAGGGCAGGCAGCCAAATCCTATGCTGCCTGGTGGGGAAGATGAGAAGCAAAGCTCGGTAGCTTGTGTGGTACGTGAGGGCTCCAAACTAAGCGAGGGCGGGGGTTAGAGTAGTCAATGATGCAAAAGGGGAGAAAAAGGCCCGTAATGCGAGGGCCGTTTTTCGCGCGCACCATAATGTCAAAAGAATCTTTCAAATTAAAAAAAAAAACCATTGAAAATCGTTAATTGGATGGCAGCGTTCTCACCCACGCGTCACGAACTTCCGTCCCGCCCCCCCCTTCAAATCACGTGGTGAAACAAGCTTCCCGCCTCCCATTTTCTCGCTCGCTCGTCCCCAAAGACAACACCAAAACTCACAATTCCCAAGCAGCTGCAGATCCAGCGCCGCCCTAATGTCGTCGACCGTCGTTGCCTCACCCATCCGCTTGTACGTGAACAGCCCGCCGAGGCTTCCGAGAAAGTACAGCCCCAGCGCGCCCCAAATCGACCACGACATGTGCCTGTTCTCGATCTTGCTGATTTGTTCGCGAAACGTGATTGCCTGGTGTTGGGCGCGATCGCGACCGCGGAATGGGGGGAGGGGTTGGGGTTGAAGTGAGAATATTGGGGATTGAGCTTTGCTGGGTTTCCGGGATCGGCCGAAATGGGAGGCGGCAGGCGAGAACGCGACAAGGTTGGAGCACCCACCAGGGTCAGTGCGAGAAGGACGCCCGCCAGCTGTTGGTTGCACAGGCTCCTGCGCGTGGGTTGAGAACGAAAACGAGTTGGGTGGGGGAAAGGGTTGGGCGGGGCATTAAAGCGGTGGCGACGGTGGGGTCAAAAACAGGCGGTGCGCACTCGAAGTCTGGTTGCTCCATGGTCGTCAGTGTTCGCGTTGCGGCGTTTTCGCGTTTGGGTGTGCTGGTTTGTTGTTTTGTTTTGACACCCCAGCCGGAGAAGAAACAAAACACAAAAATGCAGTAAGTTCTTGGGCATCCTCAAATGCAATAAACACTACAACAAAAATTAGAGTCGCGCTATGGACAAACGTCGACCGCTTTGACAGGTTAGAAGCGGTCTGGAAGGAGGATTTTGAAAAGGATGCGGCGGAGACCGTTCCAACGGTGTGCGAAAGATGATGGTGCAGGTCTGTTCCGCCCACACCTTCCAAAAATAGGTTGCATCAGTTAGGGAGGCAGAGTAAATTCCACTTGTCTGTCAAATTTCCATTTTACCTTGCAATCGATCCTGCATCGGTGAGCAGACTTCCGCGTCACGCTTGAGCTGGGCAAGTTTGATCATTGCCTCCCACGGCAGTGATGCGGCAGACTAAACACAATGGCGCGGTAGATGAAAACGAGTCGACAGGCGACGGATTGGCAGGGGTGAACCTTGTTCGTTGGGGAAGCAAGTTTTCAGAAGATCGCCACGTGTGGAGACTCAACAAAACTTTGGCCCAGGTAAACGCATTGGATTCGCGGATTCTCGAAAACAGGTAGTCTCCGTCAACGGCAGGGTTCGAACCTACGCACCCAGAGGGTAACAGATTTCAAGTCTGTCGCCTTAACCACTCGGCCACGTTGACATGACATATGTTTGCTGCTTGTCATGCAACAAGCTCTCCACAAATTGTGCTCGACAGCCAAGTCTCTGAGAGGCGTCATGGCTTGACCAGTGAGATCCGGTTGCGCTCGGGCGTGACATCTTTGATGACCTTTGAGAAGAGCACATGCGGAGGCCAAGTGAAATGAAGACCAATAAGGAGGGGTAGCCACCTTCTGAGCACGGATTCTTGCCAAGGCACCGTTCGGAATCTCCGCAACGCCAGTGCTAAACTACCTTCGTGGCCTTCATCGAGTCGACCAAATTGCCAAGGTCCGTCAATTGTACCTTGTCAGTCAATCTCACACTTGGACCATGGTAAGGCGGCCTCTTCGATTCCATCCCATCCACTCCATCCCATCCGATCCCATCGCGATCCCGATCCGTCTCACCTGGAGAACGGACTGCTGGGCGTCGATTCGTTTTTGGATTATATTGGGTCTTTGAGCGTCGCGTTGACTGCGAATCGGCTCGGTTGCTCGCTGCACTGTCGATGGAAACTGATCGAGAACTGCCCACGCCTCCCGACGATCGCACCAGCTGAGCAGACGTCGAGATCGACTGGCGAATTCCGCATTCGGGCGATCGTCGGATCCCAGAACTGCTTCTCCCCTCAACAGAAGCAATCCACGGCACTTTCACTGATCGCTTTTCTCCCCTCGCGAACAATCCAGCCCTCCCACAAGTCGTTCAAGATCAAGCGCATTCTGGGCAAGAAGCAGAAGCAAAACCGGCCGATTCCCAACTGGATTCGGTTCCGCACTGACAACACCATCCGCTACAACGCGAAGCGGCGCAACTGGCGCAGGACCAAGCTCGGGTGAGTTGTTTTCTTTTTTCTTTTTTTTTTTTTTTTTTTTTTTTTTTGGTTGGCGGAACGCTCATTTACCGGCTATGCCTTCCTTCCATTGCAGCCTGTAAGTTGTGGATTCGACTCTTTGGCGTGTCGACATTGTGGGCCGCTCTGGGTTTGGTTCGGGTTGGATGGATGATGGGGAGTTTTTGGACGCAACCTGTGAGTTGCACCTGCGATCGGCTGTCCGAAATACGGCAACCGGGAATGCAGTTTCGTGTAAAATGCTATAACGCACGTAGTTTACTCTTTTTTGGATTGCTCTTTAGAATTAGAGTAAAAAGCGGGTACACCAACCGGATGCTTATGGTGGGGGTCAGCTGTAGCCCAGAATGGAGAGGGACCAAGGAGGAGATAAGGATTGGGTTGTCCGAAAGAAAACTAGAAATGGGCACGGAGGTGAAGGTGGGGTCTAACTGAGGGAGAAAGCTCAGCAACAATTCGAGAGTTGGAACAGGTCGGAACAAAAAAAAAAAAAACTGGAAAGGGCCCAACCGGAATAAGTTTACCACATGTAGTTGATTTCCCAACCTGGATTCAACATCAAGTCTTTTTTTGCGCACATGGCCGTTCACGTACGGGCAACGGAATCATCACAATCATGCATTTATCCGATTCAACCTCGGGAACAACCATATTTGAAGCCACAACCCCATATGTTTTCTCATACAAAACGTAGGTACCCGAGTTCGCTTCGGAAGACAAAAGAAGGAGCGGTGAGGAGGGGTCATGAAGAAACAAGCTCTGGCATTCAAAAAAGGAGCTGTCAAGCAATGAGCGGCGCTCCATCTCTCCCTCCCTCTCCGTCCCCAACACGAAGTAAGGGAACAAGGACGGAGATGCCACAAGGGAAACAAAAAGACGGAGGACAAAGAAATTTGAGTTTTTAGTCTTCCTTTTTTTGGACTAACCCAGTTCATGGGGGGAAGCAAGGTTGAACACCGCAGCTTCGAACGACGAAACATAATGGCAGGATCCATTCAAGCAGAGCACCCGCTTCGACAGCTAAATCCTTCCTCCGCGGCGACCGTCGAGATTGAGCTGATTGTTCACTCACGCATTGGTCGAACGATGAACTGTGCCCCGCCCATTCTCCTCCACCACGTTTCCCGAGGTCAGCCGTCCTGCACTTCCCCCGACCTCCTTCCCCACCGCACAATTCTTGCCGTTAGACGGTTAAAGTGCAGTTGTCCTGCCAAAATCAGGTAATGTGAAGGACCACAGCGCAAATTCAACTCGTAGTGCATCGGCCGGCGTTCTTGAAGTCACGGATACATAAACAGCGATACACAGACGGGTTAATTATTTCAGCTATCTGCGACGTGCGTCAGCCGGGAATCGAACCCGGGGCCGCTGCGTGGGAGGCAGCGATTTTGCCACTAAACTACTAACGCGCTTAGTTTATTTGAACACATGTAACTCAAGATCATATTAGCAAATAAAGATGCATTGCTAACGCAAGCCAACAAATCCCGTCGGTCCTCAGTTCTCCGTATGCGACAATAACGAAGATTTTGGAAGTGGCGAATATGATCAATTATTCAAAGGAAGATCAACTTTAGCTCTGTTAGTTGGATAGCTGCCAAAGAGAAAACACTCTCAGCCCTTCCGACTGGATCCGGACCGTTCGAGCGATGGCTGAACACCTTCGCTTTCTTCAACTAGCTCATCGCACACCTTGGATCCACAAGAGAGAGGCAAACCAGGCCCGGATGCTTCAAGTAAAGGCACAACTCAAACTCTTCTTGCGTGCTAGCACTTCCAACTTTGAAAAACACACGTGCAAAAAACTCTTCCTCTACCAATAAGAACCCCTTGGAAACCCCACCTCTGCTTTTCTTTTTTGCAGCTTTCACGCCGCTTGGCCTTGTGCTTCTTCTTGCTGCTCTTGCGACGCAGGGGAGCTGACGACGTTGATCGAGTCTGTTGAAGAAATGGAAAAAAATGAAGTTAGGGGAGGCGCAGCACTCATACTTCGGACGAATGCATACATATACACACACACACACGCAGACTTCCTCTGCACTCACTCTCTCAAGCCCTTCCCCAATCACAATCCACACCACCAACACTCACACAACAAAAAACTCACCGCCCTCAATAACAACTCCGCTCCTGCCCTCCTCAGTCCGCCAGTAGCTCAGCCTGCCCTCGACCAGCACGACCGACCCCTTGCGCACCAGCGACCCGCCAAACAGCGGGTCGCCCTTCTTGCGCCGCAAGCGCACCGAGTGCCAGTCGGTCGCCCGCTGCACCGCCCCGTCCTCGGACCGCCCGACAAATCGGTCGGTGGCGATCGAAAACGACCACGACCCCAGCGCGTCGGGCGGCAGCTCGGCGCCTTCGTCCTGCTGCTGCTGCTGCTGTTGGCTGCTGCCGAACGCGCGAAAGGTTGGGTCCTTGCCGACGGTGCCGAGGACAATCGCTTTGGAGTATGAGGAGCGTGCTGGCGGAGGTTGAAGGTCGGTGATGCGGAAAGAAGGGAAGGGGGTGGGGGGGAAGGGGCGGCTGTCGTTTAGACTCTGGTATCGAAACGAATTTGGTGGGTCAAAGCACTCACACTGCCATCAGTCAGGGTTGTGTCATGGATGAAGTCGTTTCGGCGGACATCGTGACCGTTGCGTGCGATGAGCGACGTCGAGGTGGGGTTGATGGAGGGGGTTGCAATCACCGTCGAGATGGGTTAGGTACCAGGTGCGTGATGCGCAAGCTCGGCCCAGGGTGATTGTCGATTCATTCACATCACCACCGGCCGGCCGTTCGCCGCTCAGCATGACACACATGCACACATATCCTTTCGCCACCGCAGCCAGCTGTGTCATCCCTCCCCTTCCTCCCCAACCCCTCTCTCCCCTCCGATCCCCTCCCTCTCACCCGAGTAGGGACGGCGTTGAGCGCCGCGGCACCCTTGGAAGCAGCAGCGAGAGTGCGGAGTGGCAGCAGGGCGGCGCGCTGGGCGGTGGCGGAGACGATGCAGCGGGTGGCCATCGTAAATACTGGAGTGAGAGTTTTCCCGTCCTTGTCAACAATCGGACATGCATTCTCCTCCCCTTGAGCCATCAAGCACTACCACTTGGGTCACACCTCTAAATCCAACCACAAACGTGTATGCGTTGCAGGTCACACGACTAATTAATATTATTTTCGTAGCTTTTGTAATAAGCGCGCATCGTGGGGGTTGATGAGTGGGTAGGAGGAGGAGGAGGAACGCCTCCGTATGGTGCGCTCCGTCGTGCACGGGAGGGAGAAGGGTGGATTATGTAGGGCCTATTTGGGGATTCATAACGAAAGAAAAAAGAGCCACACTTAATAATACGATGAAAGATCACATGAAGAAAGATAATAATAATACTTGGGGGGGGAAGTGTGACGGCCCCTTCCCACTCTGTACGCAGGGAGAGGATAAATGGTTGGCCAAAGCAAAGAAGCAAGATAGGTAGACGGATCACACCGCCACGCGTCGCCGCCGGCCCAGCACCCGCCTCCCGCCTCGCCGCCGCACGCGCAGCGCCTCGGACGGAAGCACTGTCGTCGCCGGCGCCTCTGACGCGCTGCCGCTGCCGCTGCTGATTGCCGCTCCGTAGCTGCTCGAGGGAGAGGACGACTCGCTCGCCTCCGCCGCGGAAGACTCCGTGGCTGTCACCACGACCTCGCGGCCCGCGGTGCCGCTGAGCGTTGGCGAGGACTCGGTTCCGGCGGGGGCGGTCGAGGAGGAGGGTTGCGTTGGTGACGATGAGGACTCGGTGGTTGCGCCGGGCGACGAGGACGCGGGCTCGGACCCGGTCGGAGAGGCGGAGGAGGACGGCTTGGTGGCCGTTTCAGAAGAAGATGCGGGCTCTGTGGCGCTGGGGGCTGGGGACGGCGAGGCCGGCGACTCGGTGGCGCTCGATGGAGCTGGCTCGGACGCGCTTGCGCCCGCGGGAGAGGCAGATTCGGTGCCGGATGGCGACGACGGGGATGCGGCCGCCTCGGTGGAAGCAGGGGAGGAGGATGAGGCTGGGGCAGTGGATTCTGTCGCAGAGGTAGAGGCGGAGGGGGGTGTGGTCTCAGTCACTGCGGGGGAGGATGAGGCGAGCGGTGCTGCGGTCTCCGTGCTAAGCGACGGTGTGGAGGACTCGGACGACGAGGCT